GTGGGGGGGGGGGGGGATCTTTTGGTGGTGGATGATGGTTGGCATACTAAGTTTAGATACGTCCACAGTTTTGTAGACAAGTTATCCCGGAAGGGAAAATGGTAAAGAAAGTAGGGGAGATGTGGGAGGGAATAAAGAGAGGAATTGAGAGAGGCAGAATAGGAGGGAAAAGAGATCCACAGCCAGCATGACTTTTTTGGGAGCTCAAGCCTCAGGGGTTGAGCTATGGGATCCGTTATCACCCATACCTTTTATTTCGTTAACGGAATGTTGAGTAAGATGATGAATAGGCGATGGCAGGAGGCTACTTGAGGGGCTTCAAGCCTTCAACACATCGGTTGAGGGACGACACTACATGAGGATCAAGCATCTCCTATTTGCTGGCAATATTTTAGTATTTTGTGATGCTAATGTGACCTGCCTTATCCACTTGAGACACAATTAACTGTTGGCTCCAGATGGTGGTGGAGTTCAAGATCAACTTCTGAAAATGTCTGATCATATCACCAGGAGAGGTGGATGACATTTAGCACAATTGTTTAATTGCACAGCGGTGCTTTACCTACTGGCTACTACATATTTGGGCCTGTTATTAGGTGCTTGAAGTATACATCAAGCTTTAGCCTTTATGGAACCTTCTCATTAAATGAATTGAGAAGAAATTATTAGGGTGGCAAAAAAGATACTTGTCAGATGAACAATAGATAAAAGGATGCAGGAGTTTGCAGTGAAGATGGATGAATCACTCTCATTCAAATTGTATTACCATATGCTATTGATCAGAGAGGAGCTGGGTTTTCCACACTTATGAATTATGAGAGGGAGGGTTAGGGTGCATGAAAGAAGAGGTATGGGGCCTGGTGGCGCAGATGGTTGGTTGTTATTGGAAATCTTGCCAGAAGGGGATCCACGTCTTATGACATTTGAATTGTAAACTTTACCATGGCCACGGATGCTATGGTTAGGGATGCGAGTGGGTCCAGGTTATGATAGACATGGAACTAATTAAAACTCGTCAATGCTTTTGGAAAGATCTTGAAATTTGCTTATAAATAGTACTATCCAACAATTAAAAGTCATAAAATTAAGGAATACACCACATGTTTGTATGGGTTTATTCCTATTTAGGTGTTCGTTCCTTCATGAGATTTATTTATAACTGCTTCTACATTCAAGAATATGACCAAAAGGTGTTTTTAACTAATAGGTCATATACATGCATCAATGATGGTTTAAGTACTAGTATACCAGCTGAGATTTTCCTCAATGCTGGTGCAATTTGGTAAGGCTAAAATGTATCTGAATCTAAATAATGCATAGCATTTGTATCAGCAGTACTAGTAGAGAAAAAACTCAGAACCCTTTTATATAAACAAACAACAAACATACCTAGTGTTATCCCACAAGTGGGGTCTGGGGAGGGTAAGATGCACACAAACCTTATCCCTACCCCTACCTACGTGGGGTAGGGATTGATGTTTCCGATAGACCCTCTTATATGTAGCTCATATTGGTAATTGTTGGCTCTTCTCTTTATTTCCTTTGCTATATGCTACTTGGGTCTTTTCTCTTCATTTTTTTGTTATATGCTATGTGTGTATTCAAGGACACATGGTGCCTCTAGTTAGAATTCAGGAAAAACTATAGAAGAATAAAAATAGCTGCCAATACTGTGGTGTCATTTTATGATACTGGTTAGGCAGGACATGGTGAGCCTTTAGCTTACGGAGGATATGACCCTAGATAGGAGGGTGTGGAGGTAGAAAATTCAGGTAGAAGGCTAGTAGTAAATAGTTTCGCATCTTGTCTCTCCTGATAGTAGTATTTGTATTAATTCGGACTTTCGGTATTTATTATTGTTTTTCTATTTCCATAATTCTCATTCTTAGTTTTCTATTACTAGTCTCTTATGCCTCTATTTTCTTACTAGCCTACTGTCGTTACTGCTTTTGTCTTCATAAATGTTGTGTTTTTGCTTTCCTTAAGCCAAGGGTCTATCGGAAACAGCCTCTATACCTGCCAAGGTAGGGGTAAGGTCTGTGACACTACCCTCCTAAGATCCCACACTATTTTGGGTAAGTTGGTGTGGGTGCTGTTTGTTGGTTTGGCAAGGTTCCATACTTTCATTTCAAGGCACCTTTTCTTTTTTCTTTATTAAACTCTTGTTTGGTGCTGCAGTGGCAGGCAGGATCCAGGCAGCAAGCTACACTTTCTGGGTTTGAACCAGATAAAAGCAGCTGGGGTTGGAACTGGTTAGAGAGATGGATGGCAGTACGCCCATGGGAAAATCGTTTTCTAGACCTTAATGTGAGAGATGGAGTCATGCCTAATGAAAATGAATCAGTTGATCCCATAAACGGGATAAAGAACCAGGTTAAATTTGCTGGGAAAAAACCAACTGCAACTCTTGCAAATGATAGAGTGGGTCCATCTCATTCAAGCAGTAACTCAAAATCAAATGAAAAGGCAGCAGTATCGCTCTCCGATGGCTGCAGTTCTTCCCCAAATGTGTCAGCAAGCACACAAGAAACACCTGCAGCATTAGTTAACAAACCTAAGTCCAAACCAAATCTTGAAGATTTAGTTGAGGAAGCTAGTTCTAAACCCGCCCTTGGTTCTAGATCACACAGCAATCCTAAGGAGAGATCCACTCCCTCTGATAAACAAGGAAAACAGAGACTGTCTCTGCCTGGTAGCGGTAAGCCAACTCTCTCTCTCTCTATCTTTCTTGTTTAATGATATTGCCTTGTGTAAGACGCTGGAAATGTTACACAATATAGACCCTCTTTGTTTTGCCCACTTCTTCTGGTTTGGCATAAAGATCGAAAATTGTTTATTGAAATTACTGTCTCCTCTATAGATACCCCTATCAATAAGCAAAAGTAGCACTGTAACTTGTTTAATATTTCTTTGCAAAGCCCTCACACAGGTAATCAATTTTGGAATGCTATGCTGAAGGAAAATTATTTATAAATATTTGGACTTATTTTTCACTTTTATTTTATTTAAGTATGATGATGATGTAAAATTTAGATTAAATGAAGAATTAAGGATTCATATAGCCAACAACTTGTTTGAGATTGAGGCATAGTAGTTGTTGTCGTTATGCCGAAGGAATGGGCGTGAACAGATATTTATAATATACATACGTCTTTTTCAGACAAATATGGTAGTGCAGTGACAATGCACATGTTCAAGTATTCCTACAACTAGTGCCTCGTAAGTCGTATGCACTAATCTTTATGGCATCTTTTTGCCAGGTTTTGCACCTCAAACAGCCAGACAACCAAGCAGAACCATCAAAAGGACATCTAGTTGGCAGAAGCCTTTGAAGGAGAAGTCCAAATTAAACGAAACTGATACTAAGTCTACAGCAACTGTTTCACAACAGGCTGCTGATTAGTTTTTAGGTACTCGTTGAAGATCCCGATCTCAGATCCAAGTGTCACCCTTGTTTGTAAATACAGGGAACCTTCTTAAAGGGGAGCGATGGTATGTTCTTCTAGAGATGTGTCCACGGCAGAGTTAAAGGAGAGACTTGCTGCCATCTCCTGAATAACGTCTTCGCATTTGTTTCAATTCTTGTCATAATTCATGTAATTTATATAATAGCGTTGTTTTCTCTACCCCTCCCTCCCAGTGTAAAAAAGGATGGATTTGCTTTTGTGCCACTTTTCTTGAGCTGAAACTGGGGAATTTGGTGAGTTTGATTGCCAATTTCTTTGTTGTATTGTACAAGATCTGAATGTAGGATTCATTCATTAATCTAGAGATTGTAGACCATATTGTGCTCTTCACTGTTATGTATTCTACTTTGATATGTACAAGATCTCAGTTTGGCCCCAGGGAACCTTTGCACGTCTCCGTTTGGGGGGTTATGCCCCATAGAATCTGTCTACCTAAGATCGTCCCTTGGCTAGTAGGTCCTGACACAAGGTTAGAATTCTAACCCTTCCAGAGTGGTATCTCTATTTGGACTGAGGAAACCTTTGGACGCCTCCGTTGCCTTTTGGGAGACTAACACAAGGTTAGAGGGCACCTTCGTATTTTTTTTCATTTTGTATCTGATATTTGTATTGGAGATCGATTAAAATTCCTAGTCTCACATTGGGGATATAACATTTTCTAACAAAAACGACTTTGTACTAGAGGAAATTCGAACCCAAAACTTCTAATTAAGATGGAGGAGTATTTATCACTCTATCACGATCCTTATCGATATGTTTCATGTTATATACATGAACGTAGCACATGAAGGCAAACATAATAAATGTTGCGTTATGTTTAGTCCAAGAAAACAAACACAACAAATGTTTAGGACATCTAGGAAGTTACTTATTATATGTTATTTAGCATATTGCCAAATCTACTTCACGAGCTTGTCATGTTCATTATTTTAAGGTTTACGCATTCGCATATTTTCAACAAGATTTTTTTCTATTTTTATAGATTTGGAACTTGAATTTTTTATTTATTAAAAATAGAAAAATATCAATCATCTCAAGAAAATTCATACTAATTCTTATATGTGTAATTGGTTTAAGAAGTTATTGATATTATCATTTCATATTTACTTATTATAATATATACATTTATTTTATTTTTAAATTATAAGTCTTATATCTTGATGAGATTTATTTATATATGTTCTTTAAAAGTCTGATAGTGAAAAAATATTCTTTAGACCGGTGATATAACAAAGTTTACCTTTGAAAGAGTTCTAATTTTTTGGGCGATTTGATAGCGATAGAATCTTTTATATCGATGATATAACTAAAAAAGAATTAAAATAGAGTTTAATTAGCGTATATAAAAAAAATACATACACCCAATATTTACATCAGACTAACATATGCAAGATTGAGAACTCAATAGCACTATTCTTGAACAACTTGAAGCAAGTATTTTATTCGCACTATTACGTATGTATTTGGACGTACATTTTAACACTTTAGCATATTCTTTAAAATTTAATTTTCTCTCAATAAATCACTTAACAATAAGAAGATTAATTGGGTTGGTATAAATATTTGGTACTAGTAAGTTCCAAGTCAAAACAATTAGTAATGGGTTGACGATAATGAGTTCAATAAATAATAAAAATAATGTAGTTTCTACGATAAAAATACATATTTTAATTAATTAAATATTAAATATACAAAATCATTTATCACATGAAACAAAAAAAAAAATTGTCAATAACTTATGGACCAAAAATGCTACTATTATTTCAAATCATAACAATAACAATATATTTAGTTTATAATTTAGAAATGATAAAAATACACAAATTTTACATATCTATCTTTATAGAATAAAAAATTATTTATGGATAATTATCTCAAATCATAAAAACAAGAAAATCAATATTGGGTCCTATAAATTATTAATTTCACTTATTAGTATTATTATTGAGTAGTTTCTTTTTTTTTAATTTTTAGTAATCATTATTGACCAATTTTTTTTACCTAATTTGAATGACAATTGTACTAATGTGTAGGACCTTCGTCGATGTACTACGTGAGACATGAGGATTATTGAAGAAGAATCATTATTTAAATAATTGTGTAACACATTTAATGCACTCATGTTATACATTTATATCATATTAAACAATTGTAACACATAATAATCTCATAGCACATCATTATTATTGAAGACCCGAGAAGCAATCCTTAAACTCATGTTCTTTCTTAATAGGGCGTAAGGTGTTTTGTTATCCCTTTTCTTGTTGTTACATACGCAATGTCAAATTAATTCTTCCTAAAACCCCTATTCTTAGCATGACGAATATTGAATAAAGGGACGATTGAGGGGGTACTGATTGAGGGAGGCATAAAGGAAGACATGTTTGATAATCGGACTATTCTGAATTTGCATCATGTAGAACCTTATTTGCGGGATAACGCTCCCTAGGAAAAATTCTTTTATATCTAGAGCTCAAACCCACAACCTCTGATTAAGGAATGAACAATCATATTCACTGAAATGTTGATGGTGTTATTAAAGATTTGAAAATTCATTGTTAATTGAATTTCTCTATCATAATATTTATGTACAAGGTGTATACTTTTTAGAAATAGATTTTTATTTATAACAATAATAATTTTCAAATAAAAAATTTAAATTTCAAATTTTATGATCAAACGTCTATTTTAAAAAGCTCAAACCTTCCTAATAAGCTTTTTACGTTATGGATCCAATTTTATTGGAACATTAAAGTTTTAACATGGAACAATTAAATACTAAAAAATAAAATATGTACCTCCGTACAATCACGGATCAACAATTGTGAAATAAATATTATTTTCTTCGTTTTAATTTTTTTTGTTCTTCTTGTTTTTTTAATTCATTTAATTTTTAATTTTTTTTATTTCAATTTTCTACGCAATACATTTTACATATTTTTAATATAAAATTAGTAAGGAAAAAAGAATAAATATATCCTCAAACTATCATAAATGGTATGCATCTTCTGTCATATTTTTGGGACATATTCCCCTTGCCGTCCAAAAATTAGAGCATATATACTCTTTATACTAAAGGACATTCTCGTGTCATAATCTTATTCACCGACCCAACATTTATTAAATATCGAATCGACGGATAAGATTGCACTACATGTCCCTATTTAGTCTTCCGTCAGAGTGAATGGCATATATACTCTAGTTTTTGGACGGCATAAACACTAATGTCCTAAAAGTACGACAGATGGTATCTACATACCATTTATGATAGTTTAGAGATATATTTATCCTTTTTTTCAATTAGAAATTCAATATAAAAACTCTATTATTTGAAATTTTGTGTCAAATTAGAATTTTGAAAATCTAAGAAATAGTACCCAAAAGTACTCTTATCTTAGTACACGGGTCCCTATGCTATACATATTTCTTCTGCAATTTCGTAGAAAGGTCCCTCGTTTTGTCTCTTTCCACTCATTTACACCCCCACCCCCTTTTTATCACTTAACGCGGTTAGATCTTTGTTATCCTTGGTTAGCAAGTTCGTTTGATAGTTCGATAGAATTATACATGTATTAATAATATAAAATTAATTACAAGATAATTTATGTAAATTTTACTTAAATGGATTACTATGTTATAAATTGAATATTATTATAATGTCCACATTACTCTGATTTCAAAATGATTTTATTTTCATAATTTAAATTCCAAAATCTCTTACTAAGTGCTTCATGAAAAACTAAAGTCTTTTCATACTTTGGAAAACAATCTTCTATTTCTATTCAAAAAAAAAATTGGTTCTAAAAGCTTAAATTAATATCTCAACCTTCAAAAATAAACACTTTTCAGAAAATAAACACTTCGGACTTCGTAGAAATATAGCTAATGCTATCATCTATGTTGCTTGAACTTTTCAAAAATAGTATATGATACATGTTAAATTTTTCCAAAATAATATAGATATATTTGAAAATTTTGATACGTAATAAATTGATAATATTATTTGAAAAGTCTTAGAAATGCTATAAGCATATGAGAGATTCGAAATCAAATCTCATTGTGTCCTTTTACAATCGATTAAGTAGATAAAACATGTAGTATAATATCTCTAAAGGAATACTATGAGATCTCCCTACTTAATTATCGAGCCTTTTAAGTTTGACAATGTATAATTTAAATTTCTTAACGATAATTCATTAGAGGATAAATCTGATACCAACAATTACAATAAATTCAGCTTTAACAACGTATGTTTAATTTTTTACCGCCAAAAAATTTGTAATTGTACTTTGAAATATGTCGCTCGAACTGATCTCACCAGACGTCTCGTCTCTTATGTCTACAATGCACTTTGTTTAAAGCGATTCACATCTCTTATGTAACGTAGTCGTCGTTATTACACATGAACAAATTTATTCAGTGTCTACCCAAAGAATAACAACGATAAGTTTTCGAAGTTATTTTTTTAAAATAAAAATAAAAATAATATTATGGTGGTTAAACCCCACCCACCTTACACCAAACCACCTCTCTATTTTAGCCACTTTCACCATTTCTTCTCTTTACCAAATCTCTCTCTTTCTCTTTCTTCACTCCTTTCACTTCCACTCTCTCTTCAATCTTCTCCATTAATGGTGATTTTGCTGTAAACACAAGAAAATATGTTCAGATTATCTGTAGTTATCCCTTTTCTTACTCTCCTCATTTCTGTTCTTATTCTCTGCTTATTAGGACCAAAAATCCTCTTACCTCGCCAAATCTCCATTTCTGTACCTGATGAACTCGACGATCTTTCCCTTTTTCACAAAGCAATTGCTGCTGAAACCACTTTTCCAAAACACCCATCACACAAAAAACTCCGTCTTGGATCCGCTACTGTTCGTCCACCCAAAATCGCATTTATGTTCTTAACAAATTCAGATTTACAATTTTCCCCAATTTGGGAAAAGTTTTTCAATGGTACTAAACCTGTAGATCCACATCTATACAATATCTACATACACGCTGACCCATCTATCAAGATTTCACCATTAATGGGTGTTTTTAAAGATCGATTTATTCCGGCGAAGAGAACTCAACGTTCGTCGCCGACACTCATCTCTGCTGCCCGGAGATTACTTGCTCATGCTTTACTTGACGACCCATCGAACTCGTATTTCGCTCTTATCTCACAACATTGTATACCTTTACACTCGTTTAATTACTTTTACAATTTTTTACTTGATACCCAGAAATTGTCGAGGAAAATGGAGTTTCCTAGTTATATTGAGATTCTTGATGAATCTGATTCGTTATTAGATAGGTATAATGCGAGAGGGGAGAATTTAATG